GATTCATCAAAGGTGACGTGGCGGGAGATGATGATTTTATGGGTGGTTAGGTCTAGGCAGCGAAAGCCACACTGGGCTTCTGGGTAACCAAGAAAAATGCATCGAGTAGAGCGTGGGGCAAGTTTGTGAGGGGCAGTAGCAGAGAGATTAGGGTAGCAAAGACATCCGAAGACGCGAAGATGTGAATAGGATGGGGGGTGCGATAAAGAACCTCATGAGGAGTGCGATTGTTGAGGGTGGTGGTGGGGAGAATATTGAAGAGGTGAGTAGCCATATGTAGAGCTTCTACCCAGAAGTGAGGAGGGAGATTAGCTTGAAAAAGAAGGGTGCGGACAGTGTTGTTTAGTGTGCGGATGGTGCGTTCCGCGCGGCCATTTTGTTGGCTCGTGTAAGGGCAAGAAAAACGAGAAAGAATTCCTAAAGATTCAAAAAAGGTAGCAAGAGGGTTATTTTTATATTCAGTGCCATTGTCACATTGAACAGATTTTATGGTGGTGTTAAATTGATTTTTAACTAGAGCATGGAATTTTACAATATGAGAGTAAGCATCAGATTTGTGGTGGAGAGGAAAAATCCATAAATAATGGGAAAAATCATCTAATAAAAACATGTAAAATTTAAAGCCAGTTACACTAGGAACAGGAGATTGCCATAAATCAGTGTGCATTAATTGAAAAGGAAAAGTTGAAATACGACTAGAAGACGGAAAAGGAAGGCGTACATGTTTGCCTAGTTGACATGCATGACATAAAAAATCTAATTTTGATTTAGAAAAACTAGCTAAAGAGGATGACACGCCATGGAGAACAGCGGGGCTGGGATGTCCAAGTCGTTGGTGCCAGGTGGATTGATCGACTCGGGCCAGATTGAGGTGTGCGTCTGAGGGTGCTTGAGAGATAGGGTAGAGGGGTCCGTCACTATTGGATCGATGAATCACGGCTCTCGTCAATTTGTCCTTAACAGAGAAACCACAAGAGTCAAATTCAATGGTGCAATTATTGTCACGAGCAAATTGACGAACGGATATGAGATTATGGATAATGTGTGGTGAGATTAAAACATTGTTCAGGGTGAGGGGAGGGGAGGTGGGAAGGGTGCCATTACCAAAACCAGTAGTGCTCACTTTAGAACCATTACCGACAATAATATGCGAGGGAGAATTAATGCTTGAAGTAAATACATGAGATAAAGTACCTGGATCAGAAGTGATGTGGTGGGAAGCTCCGGTATCCATGAACCAGTGGGGTTGGGTGGGGGTGAGGG